GCCCCCCCCCCCCCCCCATCACATTAGTTAAAAAGAGCGGCGGCAGCCTACATCTATGCTTCGATTATAGGAGGCTCAATGCTGTAACAAAGAGGGATGCGCTCCCCCTACCTCACATTAACGACTCGTTCGATTCTTTGCAAGGAGCGAAGTGGTTCTCAACATTGGATCTGAAATCCGGCTACTGGCAAGTGGGGTTAGCGGAGAAGGGTAGAGAAAAAATAGCCTTCATTGTGCCAAATGGACTATATGAGGTCCAAACGATGCCTTTCGGACTTTGCAACGCGGTGGCAACCTTCCAGCGACTATCTGGACGACATCATCGTTTACGGGAGAGACATCAAACAACATAACTCCAGCCTCCGATTAGTACTGGATCGCCTTTAGGAAGCGGGTCTGACGCTGAATCCGAAGAAATGCAGTTTCTCCACGATTCGGTCACGTTCCTGGGACACACGATTTCTGCCGATGGGATGGCGGTAACTGAAGACAGAAAAAGACAATTGAGGACTTGGTCAACACCTACAATCAAACGGAACTTCGCAGCTTCCTTGGTTTGGCTAACTATTATCGGCTTTTTGTAAAAGGGTTCGCCAAGATCGCAAGTCCCTAAACAAGTTGACAGAGGAACAGGCAAAAAAGGAGTTTTGTTGGGAAAACGAACACACAGAAGCGTTTAAGGAGTTGAAGCGTGCTCTCTGCGCGGAGCCGATCTTGACTTTACCAAGTTTTAATGCCGAGGCTCCTCCTTTCGTCCTGGTTACGGACTCAAGCGGCGAGGCGGTGGGCGGAGTCCCATCCCCAAAAGACAAGGACGGGAGGGAACATGCGATCGCGTATGCCAGCTCACGTCTCATCAAATAGATGAAACAGAAGAGTGTAAAGGAACGGGAACTTTCCGCTATTTATCCAATGGTCAGACATTTTAAGCACTACTTGATAGGAAAGCCGTTTGTTGTGAGAACAGACCATCAAGCATCGACATGGTTGAAGACAATTAAGGAGACCGATCGCTCGGTTGCAAGGTGGTACGAGGATCTCCAACAATAGGATTTTATAGTTTAATGTAGAAAAGGAAGCTCTCACGCCAATACGGACGCTCTGTCACGGCGACCCTTATCACCGTCCACAGATGACGACACAGTAGGTGCGCTGTTATTGAGCGAGCCTACCGCGCAGAGCTCCGACCCCCATACAGCTTTAGTCTATGAAAGACTAAGGACGTCCTCAGCCAAGCCCACAGTTGAGGAGATGATTTCGGCGAGTGCGAGAGCCAAGCAAATATGGTAGAATTGGAAAAAACTCCCCTTAGAGGACGATGTCATGTGGTACAAAGACGATGATGCGGTAGGTTCTAAAAGCCTCGCGGTACCAGGTTCCTTGGTGCAGACAACCCTGTTGGAATTGCATGAGCAACTTGGCCATATGGGGGTCAGGAAGATGCTTGACCCCGCAAGGAAGAAGTATTAATGGCCCTCGCTGACATCGGATGTCTCCGATTTTTGTCGCGCATGCGTCACGTGTACCAGCTTGAAGGACTCAGCTCGCACGGCGGTAGCCCCTCTGTAGCCGATTTCAACGGGCATCTCACGATTCCGAAAGGAAACCGTTATATTTTGGTGATGGTAGACTATTTCACCATGGTCGCGGAAGCCGAGCCGACTTATTGAGGGCCTTTACCAAAGAGGAGCGGCCCGAGGATTGGGATCTATACCTAGGACGGGCCCTCCTCGCCTACCGAGCCTCCGCTCACACCTCGACTGGTGTCTCACCATTAAGGATACTCAAGGGCCGTGAAGTGAGGGTCCTTTCTGATAATTCGCTCCCTTGTAAGAAACCGTCAGTGGGTAACTCGCCACAGTATGTCTTGCGATTAAAGAAAAATCTCATAAAAGTGTTTGATGCCGCACGCAGACAGGTGAAGAAAGCATTCGCTAGACAAATGGGATCCTACGACAGACAAAGCTGAACAAACATCTTTACAGAGGGCGATTTAGTGCAATTGTATAGACCAATTCCTCCGCCAGGAACCCGTTAGAAATTCTATCACCTTGGACCCCTACCGAATAATCAAAGCCCTGTCGCCCTCGATTTATCTCATTCGGAATGCGGAGATCACTACTCGGCCTCTAACAATGCAACATAACAAGATTAGGACATGTACGGGTGCTCCCCTAGTAGGTTACGGAGACGAAGTCTATGCGTTGGCAGAAAAAGGGGAGCTGCGTAATCTATACTAGCTTTTTGAAGTGAGCTTTTAAAGGCGAGAGGTGGGAACCGAATTGGAACGCGAGGACCTTGAGGAGTCTCTCTCCAGTTGAAATCTATTCGGCCCATCTGTACCCCAATTCCCATTCTTCCTGTATATAATACCCAATAATTCGCATGCAGCCAATCCTCTCGTGAAGTCTGTGGTTCAACGCTTGAGGGTAAGGTGGCAATCTCCACGTGGTCATGCACTTCCCTGGATAAAAACTTCACATTTGGCTCCTGTCTGCGATGTTATTCAAGATGCGTCAAGCTCAGCTCATTACCAGTGCTCGATATCCATTGGACCAAACCAACGAGCGTCGAAAATTCTTTAAATCACTAGTGTGGAAGTTGATGCAGTGCACAAGCTGCGCATTAGAACAGGTTACGCATTAATATAATTCTAATAGACTTCTTTTCCCAAAGTCCTATTTGTAAAAATAGTTGCTCTGCGAAGCTTCCAAAATAACGCTGTTCCACATAACAGTTTGCCTTTGATAGGAACATAATATGAAGCTTAGAATTGTATTTTAACATCATCGAGCTGTGTGCTTTTATTATTTGTTTGAACGACGACTGACCAACTATAATAATTTGAACTTGTAATGACCTTCTAACGAGTGATAAACAATATAGTCTCCTATTCGTGTGCGTAGATGTCCGGGAGTCCAGATGATTCTGATGATGAATTTTTCGATTGCACAGAACCATTCCGTGAGTCTCTACCGGTATATTGAAGTTTTTAGCTTCTAAGTTTTATGCTGTCGCTGTCCCGCGTTCCTCCCCCGGTGCCGGCTTTTTCGCTAATATCACGCAAGCAAAATCGAGGCTCAGAAGTGTTAAGGGCTCTCGTTTGAAAGCCTTTGATTCGATACAGGATGCAAGCGACTTCTCTGCTTGTCCGGTATTAGAGGGCACCGAGTATTCTTTGACAATTCCAGAGGGCGAAATTGTGAAATTTCCCAGCATCAGACAGGCAGATCTTCTGCGCTTAAGAAAATACATTGAAACAAATGATATTCTCGCAATCGAAAAATGCATAACAGATAATCCCATGTACCTTCTTACAGGCTATGATACACCGACTATACTACAGGTAGGTAGTCATTCTGTTGATTTTCATCTGACTTTTTAATAAAGCACCTTTCGACTTTATTGCTTAGCTGTTCATTTTAGTAACTTTGGTATCTTTACCATTATAGCTCGTATTTCATTTTAACGCCATCCATATTGCTGCGAAATCGGGTCATGCTGATGTGATTAAACTTATACTTTCGTACCTTGAATCTTCTGAATTTTGGGCGCGTATTTACCCCAACGCTGATGAGCATACGGCCAACGAACGTCGAGTACGCGTCTTAGATCTTTATTTGAACAGCCCTGAAACCGGTGTAAGCTAATTTTTCTGTCCATCGACCTATTGTATGTTAGGTTGTTTTTTCTAAGTTACTTGTCTTTACTTTAAAAACGTTAAATTACTTATCAGATATTTCCCAGACCGACCCATGTAAATGGTGGTCATTGTCTTCCCATCATTATTAAGGGATCTAAGGCTTCAATGTTTAAAATCACGAAACATTTTCATTTTATTTACTCAGCATGTGGGTGTCTTCCTTCCATTACTTCCAAGTCTTTTTGAGCTCACTTCCATGCGAACCCCTCTTGCGTAATTTGTATTATTTAACTAAACTTTGATGTATCCTACTTTGGGGCATATGTCGCTTTTCACCTTAGTCCCTTTCACAATTCTCCATACCCACACGTGCAATGCTCGTGGCAGTCAGTTTCATTGTTGTCTAAATCCCCTGAGTTACAAGGGAAACGAATTACCGTCCTGTCTTGCAGGCGAAAGACCCATTTGTGTGTTGTCAGAGTCGTACCGTTAGCACATCACCTTATCCAATTGGCATATAATTACGGCAAATGAGTAGTTGTCTGATGGCATTGCTCCACTTCAGATGTATCTGTTGGCTATCAGATTTCCATGCAATGGGCAATCACCTATTGTTAGTTCCATCATCCTCAATGAAATACCTTCCAAAAGTCCCATTGCTTCCCGGCTTTTCACTCATTTAGGAATTTATTAGTCTTGTCTCAGTATCATGAGGTTTATGCCATCTTTGCTCCCTGTTTTACTCCCGTTGAAAAATAGCGCCATTAACTATCCCATAGAGCGATACGGCTGATTTTAATACCTTCCGGCCTACTTTTATGGTTTTATCAACGTAACGTTGTTTGCTAAGTCACGAGACAATCGTGCATGCGTACTAGGAGCGAATTGGAGGGTAAGATTGGCTTAATTGTAGAGTCTCTCTTCTCCGCTGCATCTGGCCAGTAAGTTTGGCCATGTTGAATGCGTGCGTGTGCTGGCCAGCCATCCAGTCACCTTGTTAGATCTGCGCGACGCCTCCGGCGCTACAGCTCTCGATGCCGCCTGTACTCGCCTCCTTGTTAGCGAAAGTCTATCCCTAGAACAGAAGTCTCTCCGTCGCCAGATCATCACTCGAGCCCTTGATGAACGGTACGTCCTTTCCCTTCTCTCCTCGTTGTTAAGACATTTCGGAGCTGAAGGGCTGGATATGATTTCCAGGCCAATTCAGTCCGAATTAAAACTCTGATCTCAAGGAATTAGTGCATTAAATTCATGTAATTACAGTTATTGCGTTTCCAAGTCTTTGGTCATTACAAAGATATCCATCGGTTCGAGATATGAATTTGGTTTTCTGTCCTTATGCTCCTATGGATAGTAAACACAGGTTCTATGACCTCTTTTCTTGTGTAATTCACTTATTATTTCTACGATGGGAGAGTAGGCTTGATTACGGAGGCACGCCACTTAATTGCCTGACTTCACTATTTCCTTCGTATTCCGCCTCTTTCTAAGTAGGCGCCAGAACCGCTAGTTCACATCTCCCTTGCTCATCCGCAATGTAATTAGTACCGTCCGACTCTTGAGTGCATCGGCAGATAATTTTGGTCTCTTGTCTTTGGGTACCTCAAATCAGTACATTTAACCCCAAACAGGCATTCTCCTTCTAGTTACCATGGCCAGATTTTGATGTGATGAACCTAGTGTTCTTTTTTTGTATGGTGAACTATGTGTTGACTTCTATTTTCTTCCTGTTTTTTGCGCATTTCGATATGCTTGGCGTTCTTTTCATGGTCACTAGTATCTTTATGGAGGGCATTTTACGGAACACTATGTGCTACTTGAGTTCATATTTTATTTCGTTTGTGTTATCCACTTAAATCCAAAGCCTTAAGCTCTTAACCATTAAATGAACAGATCAGACACGTGGGCAGCTTGTGTAATAGCCTTCCATTCTCTTGTTTGGACCTTAAATTCCCATATCCAGAAGTTTCGCCTTGCTTCGAGTAAAGCACCCCTATTAATTATGTGTAACGGGCCATCAGGTTTTAAAATTATACAGGCTAAGCACCTAGTTTTATGTTAACAACTACTTTATGTTACATCTGTGCCTTTCAGCAAGGGAGAGAAGAGTCGGCTTCCTCCTGCCAACTGCCTTTTTTCAGGTCATAAAAATGGATTATTGACGAAAAATAGTTGGGTTTGATTCTGATCTTGAATACGACTGTCATTGCCATGGGTGTCGTTTAGAGCAGCATTTTAAAGAGCTAGTTTGTTGTATCTGCAGTAATCCTGGAATTGGGATGACAGTACAAGCTAGTCGAAAATTATTTGAACGTGAGCGTTTGCAGTAGTTTTAACTCATTGCTTTTCGGTGTGCTTGAGGTCCTTTTTTGTTACTTACATTCTCAGGCCAATTCTCTGTTTTACTAAGATACCATATACGATCACCATTTTTTTTTTAGAAACTTCATCTCCTTTTTATGACCTATTGACATCATTTCGCTCGGCATTTGGCAGCCGTTTCAATTTGAGTGGTTCTTTGAACTAACTTCATCTGGCGTGTCCTCTTAAGCCTCGGTGCTTCAGTTTAATAAACCATGATTATGTAAAATGTAGTAAGTTTTGACTTCTCAGGCTCTAGCTAAAAGCATCTTAAGTTAACCTTCATAAAGGCGAGTTTATGAAGTTAAAGCCGCATAAGGGCGGGTTTGTGATGGCGAATGTAGCGATGAAACCACTTCCTCCCTCCCTCCCATTCCAAAAAAAACTAGACAGGATCAAAAGTAGCTACACCCTCTCCTCTTTTCTCTTCACCAGAATCTGGTAGTATGAGTTTCCGTTGAGCATGCCTGTGTCATTTCTCGTTACTTCGTTTGCGGTGATCAAGTCTTAACCACCCTACCGTCGTATCGACGATCTCTTGGTGATAATATCTTCACCTTTTAAGCACGCTCGGTGCACTAATTACCATAGTTACATTTTTGGCTGTTTAGCGATCGTAGTGCAGCATCAACTTTTCAACTCTGAACATAGCGTTACTCTGGTCTTCAACAAGTATTCACACTAGGACTTGTATCTTCTCTCTGGGCTCTTCAGAGATGTAAGACATTGGGGACACTTGGCAATCTGGTGGCTGCTTGCGTAGCCAACCTAAGCAGTTATGCGTAGAAGACAGCCATACAGCCAATGGCCTTAATCCATGCTTCTTGATCTCTTTCCGTTGTCACAGATAACGACCTCATTAGTAAGCACAGATTAGTTTTGGTCTTGATGTGAACATCCTATACTACTAAAAAACGGACCACTCAGACACTTACTACTATTTTTTTCATTGTTTAGCGTAGGTATCTCTGCGATAGTTTTCACTTTGTTCTGATGTGGTATTTAACTCTAATTTCACTGGTCCAAACCTGAGAGGAAAATAATAACGTGGAGATCAAGAATGACATCAACTCGCTTCCAAATCCAGGCAACCAATCTCTGCCACGCAGGAATTTGCATGACCAACTGTTATAATTTGATCCAGTCAAGAAACTTGGTGTATTGCGTGTGTGACTCTGGTAAAGAAGTTATTTAAGGACTGCCGCGATTTCGTGATCACGATGCAGAAGTGTAGTGCCTTCTAAAGCCCGATTAATATCGCCTTCACTGACCTGGTGCTGTGGTAATCGGTATGTAAAGAGTTTGCCCGCCTTTATCATTCAGAATCACCGAAGCCACATCGCTCATTCACGGATTTATATCTTGGATACTGATTAGCGCACCACAGATTAAATGCTAACCTCTACGTTCTGCTGCTTTTCATCAAGACAAAGGCTGTGTAGCTTGTCTGGTTTCAAGAGAGCTCGATCTATACTAGTTTGCATCCCAAACCACTGCAGTGCACACTGCTGGAAGATTAAAAACCATTGCTTTTAATGGTATTCACCTACAGTAAGTAGTTCACGCAAATCGTGTTCGTTTGCTTGGGTAGTCGGAGTGTAATGTGTAGGCGGGGTGGTAGTTACATGTTTGCATTCTACAACTCAGGGTCTCGAAGTGCATTTCCAATGGGTCCGCCAACTTCTTACTGTAACTTTATGCTGCTCATATTGCTTTGAAGTGTGTTTTTATTTACCCGCTCTCTAAACAATCGTACTGCAAGGCTGACCAATCATTGCTGCTCAGCATTGATAAGAGATAGGACGGATGCCTGTCAGTGAGGCAGAACCCAAGGTGTTTCCTTTCCAAATTTCCTGCACATAATTAACCTCAAGAGACGATTGTTGGTGATGGTACTGGTTCCGAGGAAGTAATTTGAGTCACAATTTTTTCGCCCATTATAAACTGATTTTGTCGTTCATTGGCCCCATGCAGTGGAGAGCAGAAACGGATTGGTCGATTTGGGTAAGACAGGAATGCCTCTTCCCTTCTGTACTGTTTCGG